GATACTATTTCAAGCCAGGTGACCATTGGGGGGTACATGAAATGTTGCCCTTGGGATGCAGGTCAGAGGAGTATTGAGCCTAGCAACTGTGACAGAAAGAGTGGTATGAAAATCCACATCAACTTGGGGTAATTAAACATTTCCTAATCCTTTTTGCCATGCCGCTACTTGACAACTCCTTGCAGAGATTGGACTGAAGGTCAAATTAAAAAGAAAAGAAGAAAACAAAAACCAACAACAACAAACAGCTGCCAAGTCTCTGGACCAACTGTAAATATCTTTATCTTCTTTCTGCATCTTACTTCAACATGTTAATATACAAACAGATTCAAGCTTACAGGGTTCTCAAAGTGACTTTGCTTAGTCTATCACCCATTTATCTGCCATGCCAGCAGTTGACTCAAAGTGACAGCTCAGAAACTCTGCCCTCTATTACTTTTTCTTGTTTAAAAGCAATTGCTATATCAGCAAGAGAAAAGTCACTCCATTTGATTAATAATACATACTGATGGTCGAGACATTCAGTCAGAAAACTGATAAACTGTTAAGCTGCTGAAATCCACCTGCAGGTTTCTTTAGGTCTAGACTTACCTTCTGACCTCCCCACTTTGTGGAGGCTCACTTAATACACCACTAACTATTTTGTCTGTAAACTATGTAAGATAGGGGAAAGGAAAGTTTGTGCTTTTCAGACAGCCTTCCTATAAAAAAACACTAAGCCTGGTTATTGATGCAGCAAGTGAATCAACCTGGGAATTTCTGATGCAGCAATACAGTGCAGTCACATATTTTCATTTCTATTAAAGATGACAGGACATAACAAAATACAAAAATGCAAATCTAATGAGAGTTGTGCAAAAGAGAACACCATTTGTTGATAACTGCTTGAGTGTTTTTCCACTATTTCCCTTCTGCCTCCTTTCACAACTCTTCCCATTTGTGGATGGTTTGGCTCATTCACTACTTGCACATATCCTTCACCACTTCACCACAGCTTAAAACAGGAACGAGGAGTCAAAGTGGAACAAAGAATTTTGTTCTCATCTCTGACATTTAATATCTCTTGTAGGAACTCAGCATCAGAAAAGAAAGCAGAGTTTGTTTTTTTTGATAACTAAGGCGTGTTGTTGAGGACAAACACCTGAACTCACACGTGACAAGGCCTAGCCAGGAAGCTAACACTGAGTTGACAAAACAGAGCTCTAGGTTTCAGAGCCAATGTACACTTCTACACATTTAAACATTTAATCCTCTCATGCCAAGTCCAAAGCTTTAATGATGCCACAATAAAGACTAAATGTATTTGCTCAGCCAGATATTGAGTATAAACCATGTGAAGCCATTAAAATAAAGTTTCCAATGTTGTTTGAAGGTTATCAGAATCACGACCCTTTCTTTTAAGTTTTGGGCGAAGGAGCTTTTGAGGAAGGGTCTCAGAGGATTCTGTCAAGTGCCAGCAAGCAGAAACACAACTTTAGGAGATATTTATACTTCAGTCCTGACATGCCACTTTCTACACAATTTTGACAAGTTCCTTCCTCTCTGCCCTTCAAGTGGTTGTGCTAGCACCCGCAGAAAGGATGAATCAATCAACAGCAAGCTTGGCCCTGCTGCATTTGGAGAGATGAGAGCCTGTGTGAGCCTTGAAAAGCTTCCACCCATGTCACCTCCCCAGCTCATAATTTGAAGCACAGGGACAGTGTGAGATGCTGGCTGATTAGAACCCCAAAGCCAAAGATGATAAAGCCCAGATGCAGGCAGGCACTGTGGGAACAGCCACATACAATTCCTGCCAGCTTCACTGTCTCCCCAGACTATTGACTTCCCCTCTCCTCATCACTTTTTCTCAAAGCGCCTTTCATCCTCTCTGTTCCTGGCCCCTGTCTGGCCCCTGTCACTCAGAAAGACAGCAAGAAAAGCATCCTAGCTGTTTCTGCCCCATTTCCCTCTGGACTGGCTCAAATCTAGAGAACTGCACGTCCAGCAGCTCAGCTGGGGCACCCTAGGGTTGCAAGCCACAGGCACACAGCCCAGAGCCACTCCTTGTGCACCTGCTGGGCACAACAAGAAACTTTGAAAGGATACATGGTGAACTCTGTGTATGGGAGTCTGAAGTAACGGTACCCTCAGAAAAAATAATTGATCATTTTCCAAAATTACTTTTGTACATCTACTTAATAATTAAGTAACAATTAAGAAAGACATGTTACAGACAACTAAATGGAGTCATCAACAAATCAAAGATTTCTGAAGTGGCAAAAATGTTCCTGCCCTATGACAAGTTAAAACAACATGCTTAAATTTTCTAAAATTTTCTTCCCTTACATAAATATTACACCCAGCAATATCAGTCTTAAACCTGTCCCACCTGAGTTTTGAGTACTGGAAGCTGTACTCTGTGGAAAGATAAACGCAAATTTTAATTTTTTTTCATACAGCAATACCTTCACTACAAAAATTAACAAGCAATAACCACTAAAACTGTAAATAGAGGAAAGGGAATAGATTGTGAATGAAGGGGAAATCAGAAAATCACAATGAGCAGAGACACAACTCTCAGGCCCAGGTTATGCCGTTTCCCTACTTATAATTTGTTATTATGTTGCATACGTTCTGTTTCTTTTGTTGAAAAAGTGTGGAGGAGGGGAAGCTCACACCCAAGATGATAAATGCCTTTGTTCATACACCTGAGAAACAAAGATACAATGATACCTTTCTATAGCTGTTTTCCCAATTGTGGCTACACTGAATACAAAGGCAAATAACCCTTCTTGTGGTAAGACACAGAAAGAAATAGTGACATCCAGAAAAGCAGAGAAGCTAATTAATATAATGAAATAAGGCTATTTTCCATCCAATTATTTGCTCCAATGGAACACAGAAAAGAAAGGTTAAATAATCTGAAAAGTCCAGGGATTTTGTGAGGATTTTTGCATTTTCTATTAAGCTCTAAAGCTGGTGTCCACAACAGTCTCATTAAATTGGTAGTCTTAACTGTGTAAGCAAAAATATACCATATTGGGTGTCCAGCTTAACATTTTGTATAAAGGCTAAACATAAGGTAAATTTGACCACAGTCATTACCTTTTCATGTCCACAACTGCCACAACTATTTTGGTTCTCTGAGTACTTGACCATCTTTGAAATTGTAAGAAAGGTTGTCCTTCCTCCCCTTTTTGATAGAATACACAACAGCCCTTCATACACTGTAGCAGGTGCTGAAGAAAAATGCTTTTCTATTAAGTCGGGAATGTCACTACTTGGTCATGAGACAGCAGACAGGCCTTCATCATTTTTGCAAAAGTTATCTCCAGGGAAAACCATCAGCATGTTTCATTTCCACACTATCAACTCACTCTTATCACAGACCATCATTCTTCTAAGACAGGCATTTGAATAATACTTCAGATTTGACAATGGCTGACAGACAAAGAAACATGAAATTAAACACAGTGCCTACTAATAAAGCACTAAATGTGAGTTAAAGAAAAAAGAAAAAACAAACAGACCAGTATTTCATTAATAGTAATTACAACAGATTCAGAAAGTAGGAAACCTATTTTTATATAAATTTCTGAGAAACTGTACAGAGAAACAGTTTGAAGAGGTAAAGCCAGTGAAAGAACACTGCACCAAAACCAGTGATAAGTGTTATTTACTAAACCTAAGCAGAGGCAGGTTCTTAGATACTGCAAGGAATGGCAATTTACATCCTCACCCACAAGCATGATCTAATTCCTGCCACAGACAACCAGCAAAAATGCATTTTTTTTCCTTCTCCAAAGTCATACTTAGAAACTTCCTTTAAACCAAGTTAATTTAAAATAGTACGGAACAATAGAAGTAAACAGAATCATATTCAAGATGTTAAAGAGTTTATTTTAGGAATGTGGACAAAAAATAACAAACATCTTCAATACTGTACATTTGTTTAATAGATAATATACAGCAAGGGAGGTGCTTTAAAGTGTGCAGAATAAACAGGAACATACAATTAGACTGGGGAGACAGAAGAGCTCTTTGCTTGTCACATCATATTGGTAAGCTACTAATAATGCTCCAGGAAATACCTCTATGAAAAGTAAGACAGGAAATAAATCACATTATGGAAATATCAAAAGAACAATAAAAGGTTAAAAAAAATACTGCCTTCTTATTGTACTGGCTCTGGCAGGGACTGAGGTAACTTTCTTCACAGCAGCCCTTATGGTGCTGCTTTGCTTTGGATTTGTGGCAACAATAGTGCTGGTAACACACCAGTGCTTTGGCTTTTGCTGAGCATTGCTTGCACAGCATCCAGGTTTCATTTTCCCCCACTCTGCTTGCTCCAGCAACTAGGCCAGGGGGGAGCAAGAAGCTGGGAGAGGACACAGTTGGCACAGCTGGCCAAAACTGACCCAAACTGACCCAATTCCAGGCTCACCAAGACAACTGGAGGGGAGGCTGGGCAGAGGTCTGCTTCTAGGAGGTGCCAATTGCCTTGGCAGAATTTGTTCCCTCTACTCTCCTCTCCTTTTCTTACTGTGCCTTTATCTTAACCCTTTGCTGCTCCCATTCTCTCCTGCATCCCCCCAAGGGAGGGAGGAAGCAGCTGGGCAGTGCTTCAGCTGCTGGCCAGGGTCAGCCCTGGAAAACTGCAGAATCTGGGCAACTTTATACTATTTTTTTTTCAATATGCATGAAGTTTGCAGAAGAAAGTGCTCACACAGGCTGATGTTTCTTAAATTACGAACACCTAACTATGTTTGTTTCAAGATCAACCTTCCTCCAATTTTGCTAACTGTATTTGAAGTACACATTAACATTCCCACAACTGAATTTAATTATTCAAAGACAAATATGCTCCTCTCTGTCAGCCCTTACACATCACACTCTTGGAAGATGCTTTTCCAGGCAAAAGAATCTCCACCCACAAGAAAATGCAATGATGTATTTTTCATCAACTACTTCTGCTATGTGGAGCTGTACTTCCATGTTGCTTTTTGTTTTATATATATATATATATATATATATATAAAAATATATATATATATAAAATCTCTATTTAGGAACATGAGAACAATTGCTTTAAGTAGCAGTTAAGACTGAACTCAAAATCACACTATTGTGACTATTAACCATCTAAGTCAAGTAATAAAATATAGATTTTAGGAAGAGGAAAGATAAACTTCAGTGAACATTTCAATAACAAAAAACATTTATGGTAAATTAGTTCCATACATGTAGGAGATAGAAACATGTTATTTCAGAAAGTCTTTAGCTGCTTCTAGTTTTACAACTAGGAAAAAACACTTTGGAGAGAAAAAAACAAAAGTGAAAGAGCACAAAGGGCTAATGAAAACAAACTGTCTTCCTGGATTCTGGAGTACAGCTCTTGTGGAAGGTGCCCATCTTCATTCATTCTCAAATCTGCTGTAAGGGTTATCAGAATCCTGGAGAAGACCTGTAAAACAAAACAGGACTACAGTTATCATTTTCTTTTTACAGAAAAACTCTGAGTTACTGACTTCACTGCTATTGGTAACTGCATGTAACAAATCCAAAAGGCAATTCTTGTAATAGCTGCTCTATTACCCACAGTCAAGTATTATAATAAATTGGAAGTGTTCTTAAGCACTCTTATTTCTCAGACAATAAGAACAACGAGTAAGTATTTGGTGATTTAGCAGGGAGAGAACATTATTCTATGTAAAATTATTACACAAAAACCATTTCTCATCTGTGAGGTATACCCCAAAAAATGCACTTGTGAGAGTCAAGTTGAAAAAAAATCCAAGTATAGAGATGTCTCAAGAAGAACAGATTCTGAGTGGCCAGTTTATAAATGCAAGTGACTATAAGATCATCATCCTTTTAAAATGTAAGATGTTGCTACTTTGACTTAGTTCTACTTCAATTATACCCAACCATCTGTCACATTCAGCCACTTACAGCTTATCTGCAATAGGACAATAATCTCTAAGAAAAAATGAAGATCACTTCTTATGTGCACTAAAACCACCAGGGACCAGAACGAGAGCATCACTTAATCCAAGTTCCAGTATGCTTCCCTCACAAAGATTCTTAATGACTTTATACCAGAATACTGTCACAGCAAGCACTGCAAAGCCATCCAATTACGCCGAGTGCCTGGATATGCAGAGCATCCTCTGTATAGGTCAGCTGAGCAGCCGCTGTTCCACACAGAAAATAATTTCAAAGAGACTTTAAACCACACTTTAAACCTGGGGTAGGCAGGAGACTGAAAATAAAGGAGTCCTGTAAGAGTGCAGAGGCTGACCTTATGTTGTGAAAGGACAGGACACTATTGCTATCTTTTCTGCCAAGGTTTTTCTACTGATGTGTAACAAGGACTCTTCCACAGCTCATTTGTCTAGGTGCAGAGACAGAGGACAGGGGAGCCCAGCAACTCCAAATCACAAATGTTCAGATTCACAATAATGAAAAAAAAATATTTCTAGTCACTGCCAAACCTTGTAAGAACTCTCAGTCCTTTTCACACCATGCCTCTTTCCACACATACCTGCACACAGATATTGAACATTGACATTTTTATCTGGAAGTCAAAACCTAATGGTGCTGGAGGCAGACTACACTATTGCCTACCTTGTGCAGCTGGTGAGCTTCCTTTAACTGCCAGGTTATTTTAAGATGCCAGTCAAGCAGCACAACTGCTCAGGGCTGATTACTGTATCAGTTACTGCCACTAACTACCTAATAGGGAACAGTAAATATTTGGAATAAAGAATAAATATGAAAAGTCCTATAATCACTCAAATAAACAAGATTACAAGCAGTCAACTTGCAAAATGTTAATATCCAAACTATCCCTCATATATATGATGCTTACTTGTCCAAGGAGTAAGCCAGTAACATCTTTAAATCTTCAGCCAGGTAACACGACACATAGTCTATTTACCTGGTATAGTGCCTTGTGTCAGAGGTACTATCCATTTCTATAATTGTTTTTGGAAAAATAAATAAATAAATAAAAATTAAGTATTTGCTTACAAAGAATGTGCTTAGATGATATAACTGCCAAAAATAAACTACAATATTTTCAGATTTTGAAATTTATATATTTTTAAGCTTCTAAAATGTGGTCACTTCTCAGATTTTAGTATTACCTTTTATGCATTTAAACAAGCAGTTGTGATGTCCACTATGTCTATTCTAGCTGTCAAGTAAACTAATACACAATAAAAAAATCCTCTCTTATCCTTGGCCTGCCATTCAACCTTCAGTGCTCTCAGGTAATATTCCTGCATTAATTTCACCCCAGCTCAAAGAGAGAAGAAAAATTTATTTCATCCCAGATTGTCACCACTCCCACCCTTCCTCCAGACTTGGTAATACTTTGGCAGTTAGGATATTTGGCTCCTAATATATTTGGTTACCTGAAACACAACTGAGTAGTCCAATTAAAAAAAAAAAAATTGCAGTACTCCCGTATTTCACCCCTTTGAAACACAAAACAAAAATCAGCATCAATACTGGAAATTACCACTCTTACTACAATTGCCATTGCATAAACTCCCTGCACTCATGAAGCTCCATTTACAAATAAATGCACCTAACTTCAAGAAGCTTTCCACAAAGTGGCAAGAGGTGGTACCATATTGCCTGACAAAATGAACACAGCCTGCAGACTTTTCTCTGTAGAGTCCGGCAAGCGCTTACTATGTTTTTGGCTATTTCATTCAGGACACATACTCAACACTTCACAGGTCTGAAAGCAGCACAGTAAACCACTAGATACTGTTCTTTACAGCTTGAACAGCTGAAACCCAATGGAAAAGATTTTCTACATCCAGTAGTGCCAATTTCAAATTAACCAGAGGATCATGTAAGAATCCTGATAAACCTTTCCTACATCATTCTGAGGAGTGAATATACTCTCCTCTTCCCCTGTCCCAAAACACTCAGCTAAAAGCCATTTTAGAAAACTAATCCTCATATTTCAAGTCAATGTGTCATTTTTACTTCTCATTCCATATGCCATTCCCAGTAGTACTTTACTTGCTTTAATTTTACTGAATTATGTTTAGGAATGAACAGATCTAATCAACACCAATCAGGAATTAATATGCCTAACTAAAAGTACTCTCACCTGTTTCATCCCAAAATACTGAAACTAAATAGGCTTTAAGAACTATGGGTCAATCTAGTGGGAATATTTTTGGCTCTGACTTCAGAAACTGATCTCCCAGGAAAAAGGGACTCCAAGAGAAATGGCAAGCCCTCCTTCCAAATGACGATAACCAGGGGTTACAATACCTGATACACTTTGCTTTCAGCCTTGCTCTCAAGCCTGTATCCAGCAGTTAAATTTCTTTTATCCCCATAATTTTAAGTACATCATAAGATTATTTTACGTAAGAGGAGTGAGACAGCAGCTCATCACTTGCACCAACTCTTACTGAAGAAGTATCAGGCTCCAGTAAGTGCACAAAAACTATATGGGGAGACATACAAAAGAAGGAGCACGACAAAAACCTTCTGTCAGCTGCCACAGCTGCCCTGCCAGTGCCACTCTGAGGGGCTGGCAGCCCATGCTAATGGGGCAGCACGTCTGGTCCAGCTGAAGCTCTGGTGCTGCCTGCAACCAGACAGGAGTCGTCTCTCCACTGTTTCCTGTCTGACATGAGAGCCACTACCCAAGTTGTCATTTACCCTCAGGGGTTCAGAGAAACCAGATGTTTGCATCTTCAGGAGCCTTGTTTGCAATCAAGTTCATTGCATGTCACTGGTGAACTTGAATATTGGCACACAGGTCACTTACAAGTTCTTACTTTTATTTACCCTCATTTTGAGGTTAGTATTTGAGCTATTTAGCAGTATCTATGAAACACTCAAACATTTGAAAGGTATAGTAGTCAAGTACCTTTCACTGGTTTATGGGAAATAATGAAGCATGTTAATAAATATGAAATGACAAAACAATGGTCAAAAGAAATTATTACCTCTTTCCAGCATATTCATTTATATTGTATACTAACTGTGCATGTTCCCAGCCGCTGATATCTGTATCAACACTACCCAAAAAGAGAACTAACAACTGAAATACTTGTAAGAGACTGTGCATAGCTGAAAACAAAAAAACCAGCCTAGTTTGCTGCATGTCTTCACCCCTTATTAAACTTTTCCTCTTTATTTCTAGACCCCGTTATTAACAACTGAATTCTTAACAAATAAACTAAATAGCTTTCAGTGTTTGGCAATGTAAGGTTCTCCTGCCTTGCATTCAGAACACTAAAGAAGGTGAAGGCAAAGTATATGCCTTGAACAGAAGAAACATTTACCGTCACAAACTACTGAATATAAAAACCAAAGCCTTACATAAAATAAACCAGAGAGGATTACACACCATTAAAATAGCTATTCAAAACCTTTGCAGAACTAAAGCAATGAAATGATTATCATTTTGCAAAAATTAAATGAAAAAAATCCTTCCACTAATACTTTGCAAAATCCTCAAATAAATAAATAATAAAGCGGCTTCTCACTAATGCTATACTGAACACACAATGGAAGCAAATGCAGCAAGAATTAAATTGTAGTTCCTTTGTGTACTACACAAGCTGCAAAGTACTCCGAATTCTACTTTAAATTTTTCCTAAGAGTCAACATATAATTTGTGTAATCATATTGCATTCATATATGTGAGCAAATGAAAAATACTATCAAATTGTGCAACAAAGAAACAATTGAAAGTGCGTACTCCTGGCTGCTAAAGCTCTCTATTGCTTCCAATGCTCCCAAAGGATTGTGGCTAGAGTGCCACCTGCAGTGCATTATAAATGTGTAATTACCATTTAAATGGGGTATGGAAAGCTGGGGATGAAATGGGAAAAGGCATTCCCTTAAAGCCAACCAAATACTGAAATTTCGGGCATCATCATCTTTATCTACAGTCAGGTTAACCAAGTCATTGTCATTCTGCCACTCATCCATGCCTGCTTAAGTGAGAATCCTCTCTGCAGTCTGTAAGGGTGCAAAATAATCTAGTGCCTCCATAATTATTTGCAGCAATTTTTATTAGATTATGTTTAATATGCTAACATCTGTATTTTCTAGACAGTAAAAAATGTGACAGAAGACCCAAGTCTCACAGAATTATTCTGACCACCGTTTGCCTATTATCAGAATGCAACCCTTATATTCAACAGCAATTATATTTTTGAATTTCAAAATTTATACATATTTTGTATTTAATTTTTCCTCAATTACATACATCCTTTAAGGATGTTCTAATTACATTATGTGAGAGATAAATCTTTTCTTTAACACAAAAATTAATCATGAGATTCCAGGCCTTAAATTGATATATCTGATAATATAAATTAATATTTGTTTTGGCAATACAGCAAACCTGTCAATAAACTTTATATGGAAATTTGCTAATAAAATTTAAGTTTTATAGTCCAATTGCAATCTTGGGCAGGTAAGCTGCATTGCAAAACCTAAGTACAAGAAGAAGTGCAGTCTGACTTCTTACAAGTAGGAACACTTTCCATTAACACAATGAATGTGTTAATGGAAAGTGAATGAACAAAATGAACTTGTTTCTCATTTATTCATTGATAGTGGAGGCAAAAAAATATTAGCTCTCCTATGACTGTGGGCAGTATAGCTACAAGCAATACTTAATTTATTGAATTTGATGTCTGCATTCTCAAGGCATTGCATTATACAGTTTTAAATTTCAGGGGACTCAAGTACTCCAACAAGATCCAGCAAAGCACCCCACAAGGCTCTGGAAGTAGAGCACTGAACAGACATCTGTCTTCAGTAAAATGTAGGGCCATGCAGAGACAAGTGAACTGGTTCCACAAGCAGAACATAACTGATGCAGCTTTCACATCCCTGAACCCCAGAGCAGGGCTCTGATATGGGAACTGCAATTCTGCACCCAAGACTGCATCTGGGCTGCATCCAGAGATGCAAAGGTCCATCTGCACTGAGTGCTGCAAGTTACTGTGGGGACACAGCCATTGCCCTAAGTGCTTCACCAGATCTTTCCCAATGATTCCAACTTGCTGAGATTGACTGTCAGGTCTCTTCTAAGGAGAAATAATCACAAAAAGCCTGTATTGTTTCATGTTGTGCTTGGATTTTGTTTGCTTTTTTCACATCTGGACTATTGTTGTCAACCACTCAAACAACTCTTGAAACTGAACTGTGGTAGAGATACAGGGTTAATTATCCTGTAAAATACCACAGAACAACTTCCTTAACTGATGTTTAACAAAAATTACTTCCAGTTTCTACAACATTCTTTCCTCAGTAGCTCAAGCTTCACAGTGTAGTTTTCCTCCATTCCAGCAAAGGATCATTCTTTTACAAATGTTCTCCAGGCAGAGAATTCCCTACAGAGTTTGTCTGTATCACTTCTGCATCAGGCAAAGGGCAGGCTGCAGATTCATGAAGGCATTCCTAGACTCTGCCAATCAGTTTAACAAGAGGATGAAAATTAACAGCTTTGAGTGATTGTTCAGACCCCTAGAAACACCTTCTCTGACATTAGTGCAATTTGCATAATAAAAAATGCAGCAGAGTTTTAGCAGATCTGTCTCTGAATACACAGTACTGTTAACCCTATGAACAAATCAAATGAAAAGTGCAAGCACTGACAAGCCTACATAATAAGAGCCTCCTACACAACACAGCAGGTCCTACAGTCTTGTGATGTGATATTCTACAACTGGATAGCTCCACTTAAAAACAAAGAAAAAAAATAACTTATCCCTACATTAGGCTGCATCCTCCACCCTTCTTTTTCAAGCTTGATTTAAAAAGATTGCTATCTACTAGTCAGTCTCTCTTCCTTCAATAGCCATGACTCCAGCAGCAAAGTTCAAGTAGGCTGATTTATCACATTCAATAACAAACAAAAAAGCCCTCAGATTCAGTCTTCTTACTTAGGAACAGACAGAACAAAACACTTATTTTAACCAATATATTTAAGTGCCCATCCCAAGCACACTGTCTTCTTGCCCAGTTGGACAGTTAATGCAGGAAGAGAACAGGAGCACAAATATGCTAAAATCAGGTGTCAGAAGACAGGCATCAGCAGAAAACTGGGCTTGGTTACTTCTGCTGCTTATAAAGCAGCTTATTTCTGCTGTGAATTTTATCCATCATTAGGAAAAAGGAATCAACTTAGGCAGAGTATCAAAACAAGATGACACATACCATACTTCTTACGTATTTCATCATGCTTCATTTTTCTTTCATGTTTCCTACAAGAAATAAAGGCATCAGAAGAACATTCAGAATCTTTTGAGCTGTAAGCAAACTATAATTACATCCAAAAAGGACATCAGCATTTTTTACATTAGCATTAGTAATCACATAACAATTTTAAATAAAAATCACACTTAGCAGTTATATATTTATTATATATATATATATATATATATTATTTTTCTATTTACACTTCATTTGTAAGTATTTACATACTCTGTGTCTATAAGACTTACCATAAATTCTTATTAACAGAATTTAGTGCGAACATAAGATGTATGACAATAAAAAGAAACACTTTTCTTTTCTATATAGGAGTAAAGCATCCACATACATGCACACATTCACACTGAGGTGTTGATCTATACATAAGAAAAAGGCACTACACTACACTGGAACACTCCTTAATGCTTTCAAGCAGGGAGCATAATTGTAAAAACTTAGCTTTGCCCAGAACATACTTTGAAATACTAATTCAATATAATAATTCTAAAAGGATAAAAAAGGTGTATTACTATTTTGCTTAAGATGTACAGCAAGTATAAGTGAAAACTACTGCTTTCTAAAATCCTGCATGGTATCCATGCAGAGAATAAATTAAAACATTGTGCTAAATATAAATTGGCTTTTATGCTGTCTGACCATAAGAATGTTTTTAAGGCTGGATCTAATATTGCCAAACTTAAATTATTCACATAAACCAACTGTCTGATGAGTCAATTTCTCCTTCACTTTTGCAAAGGTGAAGGGGGGGAAAATGAAATATGTTTAAATGGAAAAAATTCCATCTTTTATCAGACAGTTTTCCTATATTACAAAGGAAGGATCTATTTTGCTTATTTTAAAAAACAAACAAACAACACAACTGCTTAATGAGTATGAGCCAGGATCTATATACCTTGAGGAAACAAGAAATGGAATTTGGGAAACAAAAGTCCCTCTAACAAAAACTTTAAAAAAAAACCACACCCTTTGCTACCCGCTGTCAAAATTCAACCCAGTTAGACAAGTTGTGACTTCTGCCGGATTCCAATTTGCACGTATTCAGCAGAAAGCTGCTAAGCACTGACAGCTTAATTCACCAAAGATCCCATCTGCCCTATGCATATTCCACCTCCAAACAATTCCTACTGCTAATCAGACCCTGTGTGTCCTCAGAAGCAATTATCCTGCTTCCTACAGAGCTGAGGGCTGAAGTAGCCTTTTCCAGCAATTGCACTTCTGGGAAAGCATGCAGATAAAGCACAATGAGAAAATCCAAACAAGACAGACAGACTCAAAAGCTTCCACTACTGTTTCCCAGAGACACCCATGTCCCTTACATCTCCCTGCATTATTAAGCCCAGGCAGCACAGTAAACAAAGCAACCTGGCCAAAATGCACTAACAGAGGCTGGAGAGTCAGGGTAATTAAATTCATGTAGAAGAAGAAAGTCAGGATTGAGACGTTGAAGAGAACAGAAAAAAGAGGAGACAGATTTACCCACTGAAGATAAACTGATAACAGGATTTCTGCTTTCTGTGGTACATAACAGGAAGATATTATATGGGACAAGGGATCTCAGGAAGAGAATAGAGAAATTCTGCTTAAAGCAGCCTTCTCCAACATAGAGCTAAATCCTTCTACTGTATAGTCTGTGAGCTCAAACCAAGTTTATCAGAGGTGGGACTAACAGCATTTCTTCCTTGTTTTGCATATCCTGTCTGAAGTAATGAAGACTCATTGCTGCAGTTTCAGCTACTGAAACCTCAGCAGCCAGTGTGAATCAGTTCTGAATTCAGAAAGCACCTGCTTAAGAAGGGGTGGTGCAAAATCAAGCTGGGCAGGCTTTAAACCTCAGAAAGGCTTTAGGATACTTCCCTAGGCTGTTCAAAACAAACCACCAAACACCTAATTAGTTTGAAGGGTAAAACCATTAATATCAGTGAAACATTCAAACTGACAGGCATCACTTCACCCACGAGGAAATCCTTGCTCAGTAAATAAGGCTTAGGTACACATCAACCCAGAGGAACCAGACACAGCTCTGAACAGGCAGTCCCTGCATCAGCCACCCAGAGTTACTGTACCACCCACATCTCACATGATGATCAGCTCAAGTCACTTCAGTCTTCTGAGCTGGTTGTTTCTTAACACTGCTGCTATTACTCCATCTTATACCTGCTATTACTCCATCTTATACATGCTGAAGTCTTGGCTTCTCATGCAAGCTGTCCCCACTGCCATAAGCTGAGGAAGTATTTTTCCCAATACTAACAATTCACATAATAATTTTTCCATACTTGGTTCTTCACAAATAAACTGCCATCCTTTCTTTCCCTGGCCTCTCTCCTTGTTCTTCCTTCTATCAATTTATACTTGGCACTAGATCTTATTGCTTAGCATTTGTTTATAAACATCTAAAATAAATAATTATTTATAAATTATATAAATCTAATCTAAAATACAAATACCATGTATTTGAAGGTGTAAATAATTGAGTGTATAGAAAAAGACTCAGTACTCAATGCTGTACTTAAAAATTATTTTCCATGTTAGAGATAAAGTCAAATAAAGGACTAAAGCTATGCAATAAGATACCTGTTTTAAGTCCAAACTTGAATTCCAGACATCCTCCTCTTTATGCCCCTCCCTGTAAGTGCAAACTAAAACCATAACCAGTGATTTTCAACCTCTCAGTAAACTGACAACTACTTTCAACCTTGTGTAGACAAGTAGAAAGCCAACATAATTACCCTTTTCACTTTAATATGCATCTTCCAAAGAAACACTAAAGTATCCATAATTAACTGAATTTCAATGCAAACAAGTATTAAACTTAAAAAGCAGACTTTTACAGTGTACCTGAAAGACAGAAAATACTAGGTGCTGCAATCATCTTAAACCTTCCACAAAAAATATTTCCATGGAACACTATGGAACTGGGGCCTCCTTGCTTTGTTTTTACCATTCACTAATGGAATCATGAAATGAAGCTCAGGCTAGTCCTCTTCACCTTCCATTGCCAACTGATATGAACCATACATGAGGTGATATAAGCTATATTTGAAGTAGCTGTATCCCACAGAAAAAACAAACAACATGTAAGATGACAAGAAAAAAACAAAGCCAGATAGACACAAGGTCAATTGCTGTGCCTATTTCCCTCCCATATTTATCTGAACATTTATCTGATATTTAACTGAACATTTATTCAGCTATTTTCATAAACTATGTGAAAACTTCACAGCAGAAAGGAAGGACTACACAGTACAAGGCAGTGTTTTCCTCTGCAGGCTGCTTGTCAAAAATGGGTTGTTGAGAATATTAATTTGTTCTACAGCCTGTCAGTAGCAATTCATTCTCCAAAGGTCTTAGAGGAAGCAGGCAGTGGGTAGGGTGAGGTGCTCTAGGTGCTGGAAGTGGCTTACTCCTCGTGTTTTCCCATGACCCCCAGCCACACACACAATTGGTATGCATGTTCAGAACATGGAAACACCCCAGGGCTGCTGCTAAGCTCCTGCAATTAAAGCAGTTTCTGTTTCACAGACACACTCCTGAGACAAGCTGGGAAAGAGGAATGCTGCTCTAAATAAGGCTGCAGCAATCATTCTGGCAGAGCAGCCTGCTCCCAGTGATCTCTGTTCCTAGGCTAAATTCAAGAATGGAGCTGATATTAGCTCTAGGTTGCACCACTTGCTTGGTGTGTGCACAGCTCACCTTACACTCCAGATGCATCAGACTTCCTACAGATTAACTGTACCAGGCTGATACACAAATCACAGTGGAAAGGTTACAGAACACAATCATCCCTTTATGCACATAGTCAGAAGCCTTTGCTTTACAACAAGGTAAGTGCTGTCTTAACTGAACAAAGCAGCATAATTAAGGAAGTACATTTCACCACAAGGCACATGATTTTGGCATACAAAAAACTGTTGATATTCCTGACTGGATCCCTCCTCTTTAGAAAGAAACAAAAGCATTATAGGAGAAACATCACATTCATACTAGCATTTGGCCTACTGTGCTGTGACTAGTTACAACTGGATTAACAAGTAGAGAACTCCCCTTTTTTTCTGATCCATTGCAAATAGTCAACATAACTTATCTGAGAAACTGTGAGTGAGCATACTTCCTGAATTGGACACCTATTTCTTACCCTTTCATGTACATTCAAGTCTGACACTTTCAGCTCACAAATTCAGATGTTTATGAAAACAAATTTGCATCTGTTCTCCTCTTGGATAATGTTTGCCATCACCTTGCAATGATGCACAGAGCATTCAGAGTACTTGCCACACTGAGCATCAACTTGTTTGCTCTCTGTTCATTTACAGCAATACAGCTCCTAATCAGGTTCACCAATCTCATAATAAAGTTGTTTTGTAAACCTGACACCGTCATGCCTAATATCACAATGCCTCTTTGTTTAGTACTCCATGTATTTCTTAGAAAGGCAGAATACTCCTACATCATCAGGAAGTGTAGAGCTATATATCAAGCTGTCAAGACTTACCTCTGAAGAGACTCTAGCCTTCTCTCTTCTCTCTTCCTAGCTATCTGCTCCTCTTCTTCCTCTAGTCTGTTAGAAAAATAAGGGAAGGAAAGCATAAGAGGAGGAAAAAGCAACTTTGTTGCAAAGCTATCACTGTTTACTACTTCATAGCCATGTAAAATTTCACAGCTGAGTAAGTTTCATTTACAAGTTTGTGTAATTATCCTTTCACATTTTATAATATCCAAATGCTCTACTCATTGCAGTAATATGTCCTTCAGCCTCCACAGAACTATTTACAGCTCCTTAGGAAGAGGATGTGGACTGTTCCAGAAGCAGGATTCCTAGCTGCCCTTTTCCCCATGTGTCACACCCCATTTAAGAATCACTGTTCTGCATGCGCACAGTTAAGTACATTGTTGTCCTTTGGAAGATGACTGATGGTTCATAAGCCTTTGATGCCAGAACAATTTATCTTTCCAACAACCATTACCATCCAATCTCAAGCTGCCCCCAGGAAATGAGTCTGTTCTGGAATGAGCAAGGATTTACCTGAGCATCAGCTGTGTGATTCTGGGAAATGCTGAACCTACACAGTACATCTGAGCTGTGCTTGTGCAGATTGCTCTACTGAATTCTCTGCTGCACTTTAGCTTTGTGTCCTGCCTTGCAGAAAGCTCAGTTTCACTTAACCATTAGACAGACCCTGTAAGACTTGTAGGACTCTAAAGCAAATGTCAAACAATTTCTCTGTTAGTTCTTCCCTGACAGAATTTATGATGATTCTTCAGGATTAGTAAATGGACAACTGCCATGCTTGCTAATTAGTAATTAGTAAATGGACAACTGCCAGGTGCTAATCACCTTCCAGAAGGGATTAAAGTTCTGAAGATGTCTGAGCTGAATATTTACAATATTAATACACCTGAGCAGCATTACTACACATCTGCAGCCACCAAGACCCAAGTTAAGCAAGAGTGACATCCAGTGGTAAATTACAGCATGTCAAACACTTCAATACACAAAACTCAGACACATTCAGCTCTGGAAATATGAACTCAATTCCTTCATGTGCTCAAAACAGTCCACATATCTCTCTCAACATTTTATTTATTTCAATACAAGCCAGTACTTCAGAATCCATACAATGTTTCAGAAACAAATTTCTTAGTCCCAGCTTTTTCCACCTAAAGAATTAAAAAAATCTTGGGGGAGCAGGAAACACATGCAACAGGTCACTTTGATTTGAAAACAATGTTAGACTCTTTTGGAAAACAAATCAATTCTCCACATCAGCATGTCCAGCATGACTAAAAGCTCCCATTCTTGGGCACCCTTCTGTAAAACTGCTTTACTGGAGACCTCATGTCTATGCAATAATCTTCACAATTGGTGTTGCAAAATATGAAAGCATCAAATAAATCAAATGTTAATGTATGATTCAGAAAATACATTTCTTGCCTATAATAAACAGTATTAATTTCTGATTTCTGGATACTTGGAATGAATTGTTCTTCCAAATTCAGAAAGTTTGAGATTGTACAAATAAAAACATGGTTGACAACAGAAGTTCCTGAGAGTCTATTTAGTAGAGTTTCACAAATAATAGCTGTTCATAGAACTGTCAAGTACAAGGAGTTTCACAAATAATAGCTGTTCATAGAACTGTCAAGTACAAGGAATTGACTCTAAGAAGTCCAAAATCACAGGATAAAAAAACAAAACTATGCACCAATATTCCTAGAATTCCTGTGGTAGGATGGACACAGATGAGCCAACTACATTATTGATGTGGGGGCTGATGCACTGAAGTATTCTCTGTGTTCAAGGAAAACCTAAGTTCAGGCTTTTCAAACACTTAAACACCTCAGCTTAAGAATTCCCTAAAGAAACACTGATACTTCTGCAAAACAAGGTTACACCTGAGAGCTCAGATCTCAAAAAGAATCAGCTAAACAGATCCAGTACTACATTTCCACAACCCTTCCTTCCTCCTATCCACAAAAAAAAAGTTTCTTTTGTGGAAAATGAGTCCCCAAAAATAAGGAAGAAGAGAGCAAAAGAATTCCTGCTGAGAACCACTGGGCTTAAAGCAAATAATGTACCAGGCTTCAGTGTAATAACACATTCTGACTCCTCCTGAAATAAGCTGGACCCCAGATTGACAAGACCTTTAAATCCTCTAAGGGTCACAAGATTAAGCTTGACACCATTGGAGTCTTGCCATAAGATGACTCTCAACTAACCCTCTATTTTTAGAATTAGATGTTACAGTACTGATTGACAACTTAGCTACTAAAACTGAAGTCCAGCACAAGTATCTCTTTTCACAGGATTCAAGCTTTATTTGCTGACATGTCAGCTACAGGGGCCTACTCAGTTGTTCTGCAGAGGATGCTGGCAGATCTTATGTAAGATCTAAACCTGTTCTTTACATCTCCAGGGCTTATCAGCACAGGGCTAAAGAGTATTCATTTTTGCACTAGGGCAGATTTGCTATACCAGCATACCAACAAACAGGTAGATGCTTCTTTCCCAGGGAAGAAAGAAAGGAATGAGATGTTATTTACAATTATTTTCACACTTCTTTAAAGCCACAGATGTACCATATTTCTCTGGCTTTAAGGTCAGCACTAAACAATGTACAGTTACATAAGTTCTTTTAAAAAAATCAAAACCAAATCTCAAACAGGAACAAGTCAAAGGTATTTTAAAAATTTATAGGAATCATTTCAAACGAAGAAATAAGGTCCCCATTTTATTCATACAAGAAGTACTGAAAGACAAAAAGAACAGAGGTAGCTGAAACTACACTGTCCAGAAAGCTTTTAAACTTTAACTGATAAAGGGAAGCATGTCGTGCTGTCCCACTTCACACTGACAATTGTAGCTACTCATCAACTGCTTCCCTCCTTTTAAGAATATTTGCTACGCAGAGAAGCCAGTTTAAAAAAAAATTTTACAAGTTCTCCAAGATCTCAAGAACATTTAATTTTTGCAGCACTACTTTCCTTGAAAATAAGTAAATTATTCTTAGTATCTCAGCAAAAAGAAGTATCATCTTACATGTAGAATATCTTTTTGAATTGGCAAAGACAGTTAATCCCTTATATAGGGACTACTGACAGATCCTAGAGCAACTCTGAAAGATGGATACCAAGTGCCATATAGGACATTGTTGCTCAGTTACTTTCTACTCACCTGGTCCTTTTTTGCTGTACCATGAGCTTGCCTTGAAAGAAATTATTTACAGCATTATCAGAAGAAGCAAGGATTTACTTGGTCACTGAAAGATTTCATGTCCAATGTTAAGAAGAAAGTGTAAAAGGTAGAAGTGTGAAGCAACAGCTTACCTGAAGTCAGACACATCAGCTCTGTTACCACTCGAAAAATCACTTTAGTGTCATTCCAGCATCATTTCCAGTATCATACTACTTGTCACTAAATATCTCTTATCTTGCTATCTTTCTCAAACAAATAAAGCAAAGTGATCAAAGCTGCTTCCAAATGAAAATATTCTTAGTGTACTGGAGAGTAAAACTTGTAGGTAGATAGGGAAGGCCAGGACCAGTGTTGGTAAAGAAAACAAATCCATGTTTACCTCCTCCTCCTGGAACGCCTTCTGCAGTAACAGCAGTAACAGCAGCAGACTGTGAGGGACACCAGAATGAGCCCAGCTACCACAGCCATAGCAATCAGCAAAGCCTCAAAGTTTACTGAAAAACATGAATATATTCAGCTTGTTAGACTCCACCAGTAACATTCATCTTTCTGATAACTCTTCCCTTCCTTCCCACATGCTTTTTCATCCCTATATGCAAAACACAATTCTGTTGAGCTACCCCAGATAAAATGCAGTATACCACATTAAAACTTTGCTATTATGCATAATCTACACTGAACAGACATTTAGTAAAACCACATTTCTCATTCTGTCTCTTCCCTACAGGTTACAAACAAATACACTTTATACCATAAAGCAAGAATTTTTCAAAAAAATTGTTTTAAACAAATTTTTTCTTTCAAAAGTATAGTACTTAACTGAAGCAAAAAAGGTTTTTTTGGACCTATTAAAGTGAGGGAAAAGACCATCAGTTTTCAGTCTACAGTCCTGGCAACAGTACCTATTTCATCTGCTTACTATTCACGAAAACACCCAACACAATTAAGCTACTTTGTATTACACTGTTCTTCACTCTGATTAATAATCTGTCAACACATGTAATTCATATAAAATTGTAACTGGAAGCCAGTAATTTGTTTTTTACTTTGAAAGGTGCACTATTCACCTTCATTTTCAGCAATGGTGAACAACATTCATCTCTTAATTTTATTCGCTTAAAGAAAAAAAAACAAAAATCAACACCACCTTCACAAGTTAGTTAATTTTCCTGCTGTGTTTGTTTGGGACAGTCTCAATAAGACCATATAACCCCATTGCATATTGCTGCTTGAAATTTGTAAAAAACCTATTAAGGAAATGCATATTTGAGGGTGTTTTTGTTGTTTTGGTTTGGGGTTTTTTTCTACTTTTTTTTACGGAGAATGTGCTCCACCATGAAGCTTTCATTCTGTGTTTAAGCTACAGCCAATCTAGAAACACAAATGGCACAAAACACAGAAGCCATTTCCACAGCAGCAGTAAACTGCCAAGACCACCCTGAGTATCAGTAGAAAAGAACATGTTTCTCTACCTGGTGTGTTTGAGAGTGTTAACTTACTTCACAGCAGCTCATTTGATGCTGGATTTTGGATTTCTGGCTCAAACATGCTGGTAACACACCAATGTTTCAGCTGCTGCTGAACAGGCTTGAAGAGCACCAAAATATCTTCCCACCTGTCCCCTGCCCCCTTCCCTTTGTTCCCCCCAGTGAGTAGGGCTGGACACAGGCAAGAGAGTGAGAGAGGTCAGGAGGGGATGCAGACAGAATGCTTGAGCCAAACTGGCCACCAGCCAATGTCATGGTCAGGGAAAAAATCTGAGGTAAAGGACAGGAAAGTGGAAGGCAGAACTGGCTTCCAAGGGGAAAGCCAATTCCAATGGGCACTGATTGTCTGAGGACTGGCTGAGCATGTCTGCCTGTGAGGGGGCGTTAAAAAAATTGTGGTTTTTTCCTCTCCCTCCTTTTCCTTCCCTTTTTAAACTGCCCTTATCTCTATCAAGGTTTTCTGCTCTTGTTCCTTTTTCTTCCTCCATCCCACTGGGGCCATGGGAGAGAGGGAGGAAGCAAGCAGCTGTGTGAAGTACTCAGATACTGGCAGCAGTGAGCCCTCCACACTTCCAGAAAAAAGTCTGCTAAAATGTCACAATAAAAGCCCAGTTTTCTTAAAAGTGAGTTTTATCACTGAAATTATATTCTTAACATACCCTAAAAAACTCCAACAAAAGTTGAAGTACAAATGCCTGTTCTCAGAAAACAAAGCACAAAGCCCTTCTCTAAGAACACAGAATTGATGAAATTCACCTGTACTTTTTCATCTACTCACTCTGCAGCAGTCATTAAGTGCTAGTGCTCAGAAACTTGCATGCTCCACTTTAACAGCAATCTCCTACTTCTGCTACCCTAATTTAGACTACTGCAAAATCTCTCTGCCTTAAGCATGGTAACTTTCTCCAGTCAGCATTGTCACTGATAGCTCACCCCACTTGTTTTTGTCCTTTAGCCTCCTGCTGTCCATGCACTAACACACAGAAAGCAGCAAGTCTTTGCTCTGCTGGACTGAAGCTGTACTCTTGCTTCACACAAGAAGCTTTCCCATGCCTTAGGTGGTCTCTGTTCCAGTCTAGTCTGAATCTAGATCTGTACACACATTATTACAAAAACACCTCCAAATATTTCACCCTGATGGCAGCACATGCTCAGTCGTGTATTTTGTAGTAAAACAAGCACAGCAAATGGAAACTGAAGAACAATTACACCATGCAGGATTACAACCCACAGTGGCACCATGCATGCTCCTTTTAAACCTTATCTACATTGCCTTTGGTACCCATCAATTCCACTGTTATTTCAGTTGTTTAAGCAAAAACAGCATTCAAGAATTTCTGTGTGACTCTATTCATGTGGTATTGGTTCACTGCTGCCATTGGAATATTTTAGAACTGTGGATCTAGACAAATCATCCAACACTTTCAGAAATTTTAAATAAAGTAAAAATGTTTTAAAGACATTCCATCACCATACCTCCACTGACTGGGGCTATGGCTCCAAAGCATAACCACTGCCTCCTCACCCTGCACCTCCAAATAAATTATCAGGAAACAGCTCCAGCAAGCTTACTTAAATCATACTCATAAATAATTCTCTACAGCAAAAGTAAAATTAGTACCTACTCCAGCAAACTCCCCATCGAGCATCTGAGAGAGAGCACAATGAAGACGGTGGGAAAATACTTCTCACAGGGTAATCAATGCATGTGCTGTTGGTGTAACACCAAAGGCACTGTGCAAAAGAAACAAGAAAAAGCCCAAATTATTAATCTTCAAAAACAATTAACAATTGAGTGCACCACTCCAAAGACAGATTTCTCATGTGAATGTAACACTGGAGAAATGGAAGAGCTTTGTCTTCTACAGCCTATAGAAGGGCTTGTGCAATTTCTCAGTAAAACCTAAACTGAATGGTGAATAAGAACATTTTGTACTTACAAGTAATACTAGCCTGAAAATATTTGGAAACATATTGAGGTACTCTGCATACTTGAAGGTAAAATGACTTTGGGTTTAAAAATACTGGAATTAACAAATACAAAATTAGACTGAAGACTGTTCAGAATTTTAAAACACCTCATATCTTTAAGGAAAAAAAACACACCTATAATCTTACTTCAGCCTTGCATTTCATTATCAACAGAAAGAAAATAGTAAAGAATTCTTTAAAGTCTACAGGAACTTTTTCTTCAAGGTAATGAATGATACAGCCTCATCCAGTCTGAGTTGCAAAGTACTCTGTGTGCCTTAATTGCACATGGTCACATATCTGGATATTTTTAAAATTTCATGTTTTATGTGTATTATAGATAAAATTCAGCACAACGTTTCTGCTTCTGAAGCCATCTCTAAGCATCAAGCTTAGGTTCTGGTTTCCATCTGTTAAAATAAATACTTCTTCAGAAGTCATTTACCACACAACCCAAACACTGAAATAGGTTTGAATACCAGCAACAGGAATCTCTGACAGGACATGTTTTTTTAGGATCCATTATAAAAAGAGTTCAGCCAGGAACTATGCTTTATCTAACAGTACTATCAAGAACATCTCTGTCATACATCCTCAATTACACAAAGCCTGTTATCTTGCTCTTAATGGATTACAAAACATTAAATACAAAGGAAACCATCTGTAGCAGATGCTGCTTTCTTGAAAAGTGTGGATACAAGAAGAATATATTACTATTTTGTAGTTGGCAGACTGTACAATTTAAACACACCCATAAGGAACACATCAAGAAAAAAAACTAAGAGAATTCACTTTGCAAAAACTGTGCCCTTTTAATTATGGATGCTAGTGAGAATATGCTTTTTTTGGTTCAAATATTTAATAAGAATTAACAGTTCAAGAATAATAACTACTAGGGGGCATAATAAAAGTCACTGTTAAACTCTGGACATAATGCTGACCCTGTTTTGAGTAGGAAGCTGGATTAGGTGGCTCATGAGGTCTCCTCTACTCCAAATGACTGCACACTGCTGGTGACAACTGGGAGCCCAGAAAGGCCAGCTGTTTCCCTCTGATGGAGACTCCTGCATCTAACTACTGAAAACATGACTAACCCAAAAGGCAATACCTGACACAGCTACTGGCTGGAGCAGGGGCTGAAGCACAAGAAAATATTTCAGTTGACTCATTCTCAATGATAAAAGAATCTGACAATATACAATCATCAATACAATTCAATTAATATTTTTCCCTTAAAACCAAAATGTGCATAAGACAAGCAGGTAAGTTCAGATATGTCTCAATCTTCCCTGGTGAAAAGGTTTTCCAGTAATGGAAACTTATAAGCAACTTTAAGACTCCTGAAATGTTTCTTTTCAGCGATATCTGAAGATTGAATTTGAAATAATCTCTCACTTCTGCTCTGCAGGGACTAATGCCTTCTGCATGCTTATCACAATACTTTTGTAGAGCTAAACAAGTCTTCAGCAAAGAACAGAAACACAAATTCTAACATTTAAACGTCTGCCTTATCACAATCTCATTGGAAATACACTTTGCTACCAACAGTGGCTTAGCCTGGCAGTCTTCAGCACAGAGTCAGGGGAGGGACCAGCATACTCTGCCTCAGTTACAGGCACTTCTTGCAGCATCTTTAGAGAAAGGCACTTCCAGGTTATTTGGACTGATTAGCAAATAAATGTTGTGCATTATTAGCACAACACAAGAAAAGCAAAGCATTTTAACTGCCTGAGTTTATTCGATGGACATTTAACACAGTGCTATGCACAAAATGAAGATGGAGTCTGAGGCAGCAGCAAGATCCACTTGCTCAGCTGAGCTATAAAAGCCCTGAGCACACACTGACACTGGAAGCCTGGACTCGGTGTGTCCTCTCCAGACAGAGCACAGAAACACCCTGAGTGACCAAAGCATGGAGCAACCCTGGCAAAGTGAAAGCTCGCTGGCATCACCTGTGACAGATGGGAAGCAACACATCAGTTGATTCTATCACTTAAATGAGAAACAAACAGCCTAAGAAAGCCTAACAGTTTTATTTCATATAAAGTGGAAATTCTTAGCAATCAAAAAAGTTTTGAAAACCTTACCGAAACATTTTTTAGACATTCTTCACAGGACTTCAGGGAAAACGCTGAACATGCTAGAAAAACAAACAAAACCAATATACAGAGATTATATACTTATTTTTATTCCAAAAGGTCAAGCATTTATCACAATATTTAAGCTTTTTTTTTCCCCCTAATCCTAGATACAAGCAATAATTTTGACTGAAGTAATGAAATCTCAGTAAAAAAAGGTGCACTTGAGATGCCCACATTTGATGTCAGCCAACCTGACACACACCTTTGTGGTCAATCTGTTGGTGGCAACTAAATCAGAGGAGAAGTTTCACCGGCTGCCTGCCAAAAGCAGCGAAGAGATAAATGATTCCAACAGAACAGGAAGGGATGAGCACCTCCGTCAGGTTCTCCTGAGCCACATTCCTCACCATCACCCAGGGCTGAACAAATCCGGGCGAATGTGTGTTCTAGGATCACCCTGCTTGAGCAAGGGACGTTGGACCAGTAGACCACTGTGGTACTTTCCAACTTGCCCCATCCTGCGATTCTGGACTGCTGTCTGTCTGTGCCAAGGTCGGGACACCCTCAGGGCCCCGCAGGCGAGCAAACCCCAGCGACATCAGCCCGTCCTTCGGCCGGGAGCGGGCTGTTCCCTCCGGCCCACGGGACCGCTCCGCTCCGGACACAGCACCACGTCAAGCCCCGAGCTCTCCTCATGGCGCTCCGGACATAGCACCACGGAAAGCCCCGAGCTCTCCTCATGGCGCCGTTGGGCCCTTGCAGGCCTCGGGGCGAGCCCGAGCCCGTGTCCGCCGCCGCACCGCTCTGCCCGGCCAGGCCCGCCCGGGAAGGCCGCACGGCCGCAGCCGCGCACGGACGGGAAGCGAAGGGAGCGACGCCGCGCCGCCCGCCCCTCCTTACCCTGCGCCGGCGCCGGCGGAACCGTGGTGCTGATCTGCTCCAGCCCCGCCATAGCGCGGCCCCACAGAAGCGCCAGGCCCTGCAGCCACAGCGGCCACCGCCACACCGCCTCCATGGCCGGGACAGCAGCGGACAGAACCCGCTCGCTCCGGGACCCGGCCCCGCGCAGCCGCCGCCAGCCCCGGGGCGGAGCGGGCTCGGGCGGGGCGCGGCCCTGCTGGAAGCGGGCGGGCCACGGCCGGGCCGCGCCTTCATTGCTCTCGTGGGGCGGGGTGAGCGGCTGGCTGTGGGTGCTGCTTGTCCGCAGTCACTGGAGGGCGGGATCTGACATACACGGGGCCTTTTTCGCTCCCTGCTTCGTTTGGTGTGACGCCCTTTTGCGAGGGTGGTGAGAGGGCAAGGAGATGGCGAGGATCCTGTGCTCTGCCTTCTCGCTCCTGGTTTCGTTCCTTAGTGAGGAACTAAGGCTGCCAGAGCCAACTGAGACAACAAAGGCATCTACAAGGGCTGGCTAGAGAAATGAATAAAGACATAGAGGCAAATAGAAAATTTGCCATGACCTTCCCTTTTTAAAAAACTAATGAGTTGTTGGCCTTGCATGGTGACACACTTCTCAGGGCTTGGGAAGCATTTAGCACTCTTTCAAGTGCCAGGGATATACAGAACACCCAGATGAGTCTGCAAGATACAACACAGGAAGAAAAGAAAGACCCCAAACCCTCTGAGATGGCAGGGTGAGGACACACAAGACATTTTGGGCATCTCAGTGGCCTTAGATGTGGCTAGGCACCAAACCAAGTCCTTAGTGACCAATGAAGTGATTTGCCATGCTGTGACAGAAACCTTGCTTTAGTTAAACAATCCTACTGCTGAACTTCATTGGCTTCTCTGTGACTTATTCAGGAATTGGAAGTTTGATATTTGGCAATCAACAGCTGAAGTACTGGCGTAGGTTTGGTTAATGCTCAAAGATTCTGCTTCAAGCAGGAAGCAAAAACTCCTGCCAAGTGTGGCATTGTTCAGTGACTCCAGCTGCTTGTGACCTCCCTTCTCAAACACTCCTTCTCTTCTATTTGGACCATTTTTATTACTCTTGAGTAATAAGGCCATTGTTGCTATAGAAAGTACTGCAATTGGTTTGTGGACGCAGGGACAGCAGATCTGGGCTGTTCGAGAGGCTTTTGTAAACATATTTCAGATTTAACAAGAAATAAAGGGAATGTTTATCACAGTGCTTGACCTTGCCATCCTGTCTGTTTTTAGACACCTCATTCACCTTACTGCAGAGATTAATCTCCCTAAAGTCCTACATGGTAAGAGATGAGTAGCTCCAGGAAAAAATCAGAGGGAATCAGGATAACTGCTAGTATCTCTGGTGACTTAGGCCAATGTGTAAAACTGAAGAGATCAAACCTGAGTTAGGTGCCCTTCCCTTAAATTAAGTTTCAACCAGTGCATTAAAAAGGTGTTTACATTTAATTTTGTCTATGTTATGTTCAGATTTTTGTCAGCAGCACTACAGTCCCTGCTTCTTAGTCTTCAGGGATATTAGAAAAATAAAGCTAAAGTGACGGATAAGTCTTTGAAGACAAAGATATTTTTTTTTTTACCTGAGGTTAAATATAGGACAATATTATTATGACTTCAGTGCGCTACAGCTGGCAGAATCCTTGAATGGCTGGGGTTGGAAGGAGCCTTTAAAGGTCACCTATTACCACTACTCTGCAATGAGCAGGGACATCTGAAGACCAGGTTTTACCACATGTGCAATCTATAAATCTTTATGCTCTGAAAAACTTTTTTTCTTATTTCTTGAACTCACTTGGAACGGGCTCTTGAGATAGTAGAGAGACACAGGTGACAGACAAAGACAGCCAGAGATAAGGAACTGTTTACAAGTAATAATTAAATAGACTCTAGCGTGGGAGGCATATGCCAGAGGTGTATCAAGTCTGAAAGGCACAGAAAAAATGAACACAGAAGGACTTTTTTTTTAATAGAAGAACTAGAGAGCATTGAAGACAATTATCATGTAGAAGACTGAAAAAAAGTTCTTAGAAGAAAATAAAGCACCTTAAATTGCGAAACTCTGGATATTAAGGACATTAAAAGTTTAGATTAGGCCCAAAATTTGGATTTTTTTCCATAAATATGTTTGTTAACAGTCATTAAGTATCTAGATACCTCTGGTTCAGAAAGTCCTTGAACCACACTCCTTGAAGTTGTGTGCAATTGCTGAGGAAGATGCATTATAGGATTGCTTTGTTCTGACAGTCTTCTCAGGCATTTGTTGCTGACTGCTATTTTAGGTGAGATACTGAGTTTAAAGTGGCCTTGAAATGTCTTTATAGAGCTGTTCTTACTAATTTTCTTTTTCTTCAAAGCTTATGTTATATTCCACCTGATTGCACTGAATTATGTTTGAGACAGAGGGGAAATCCTTTTGCCTTTTTTTTGAATCTTATTTTTGGATGCTTTTATGTATTCAGTGAAGAGTGACTTCTCATAAAACAGCTCAAATTCCAAGCTTTCCAGAATTTGGGATTTTTCATTGAGTTGCTTCTATTACAGTTATGTTAGAGGAAGTATTTAGCTGCAGCCAAGTGGGAGAGGAGGGGAAAACAGAATTTGCTGAGAGCTCTTCAGAAGTATGGATACATCCATCTTCTCAGCTTTAGTTTTATTATGCCTTTGGGGGGAAAAAAACCCCATTAATAAAATTTATGAACAGCAGTGGTAATTCTCTCACAATAACTATTCCTACAGTAATGAAACACTTTTTCTCTTGGTTAGGTAGCCACTCCCTCAGCAGACATAAATTGCCAGGAAATGGAGTGTAGATGACAAGAAAAAGTGATCTACCAAGAAACTGACTTTGGAACAAGTCAGTATATATTAAGATTGCAAAAAAAAAAAAAAAAAATCTCAGAACTTGAAACAGATTTTGATTATTTTGTAATTCCATACATATTAGATATGTATGGAATGATAAAATTTTTTTTCCAGCTCTATAGATTTTGCCTGGGGTTTTGAACAGTGTTTCTACTCATGCATTTTCAGCATCACCTCTGGCCCCTTTGCCTCATCTCTGCTTCATCATTGTGAGAGAACAGCTTAATGAGCCGTTCACTGGGTATCTGAACAAGGAACAGATTGGGCTGACAGAATCTTGTCTTCTTTTTTTAGCTTGTTTATTTTCTGTTATCACAAGTTCTAACAATCTCAAAGGTGATATATGGGTTACAAAACCTGGGTGTGTTCAGTTGATTCCCTTAGTGGCAGTATTACTTCATCACTGTGGCAGAGTTTACCCAGCTTGCCTGATTGCAGTATGTGTAAATAATTCAGCTGATGAGTCACAAAAGTGATTAGAATGTCACTGGGGTTTTTTCTGTGTTGGACTTATGAACACAGACCTTGGTAAAAGGCTTTTACTACAGCAATATGTTGTTCAAAAAGCTTTTTTTGGTTTGTGACTGGCTGCACCACGAATGCATGTTCAGGTTGCAATTTGGTTTGTAATTAGATCAGTGTTCCCACAAAAAGCAGTTTGTACTTCTCTCTCCCTGAATACTTGTTCTTGCAGATGAAAAGTGCTGTGGTACACACAACAAAAACGTATCTGCAGTCCTGCAGAGAACTGATGCAACTGGAAGTTACTTTTTCAGTGAGATCAGGGATGCTCTATGGGTTCACTGAGCAGGGGACCAAATTCTTGTGCTGGCATAGCAGAGGAATTGTACTCTATGGGCTTTTATTTGTTTGTTTGTTTCCTCAGTTTCAGGACCAGCTTAAATGTCTGATGGCTTCATATGAAGGCTTCAGGACATTGCTGAAGCCATGTGAGAGGGTTTGTGTGAGATCTAGTACTTTGTTAAAGTAGTAAGTGATTATATACCTACAGGGGGCAGATCTGCTGAGTAAGGACATGCACCTTCATATAGTCTTCCTTAAGAGTCTATTCAGATTTTATTAAAATGGTTTCTACAACTGTCTTCTTAAAAATATTAATAATACCATTTTACAGAGCAAAATGTGCAACTATGAGTGCAGACTACTTCTCTAGGTCAGATACAGAAAATTAGATCATCCAGGTCAATGCCCACTTTCTGTCATACAATAACCAATCTTCCATAAACAATCTTTGGTGAAACAGATCTCTTGGAGGTGCTAATAATTAGAAGTGGGAAATATCGTAAACAACCAAGCTCTGGTCCTGCAAAAACACAGATAGCAGATATTTGCAGAGATCAGAGCAGTGTGGTTTATTCAAGGTTTTTGTGGATTCGCTAGAAATGCAACAGCCCAGTTTCAGCTTTCAGACAAACCCTGGGATTAAACCAGAGGCTGGCTTTTAAATAGTATTATTCAATTCAGATATGATCAGCTGAACACTGCTGGGACAGTTACAGAAAGTCAGTCTCCTCAGCTGATGCGGGGTTTTGCTGTTATGGAAGTAAGACTTGCACCCTCAGTGAGTTTTTGCTTGCAAAGAGATAGCCTAGAGGAATACACAGGAGCAGTTCAGTGTCTCTGCTAAGGGTGCTGGTAGCAGCTGATGTTCCCTGATTTTCATTGCACATTATTCAGGTGACCACACATAATGTTTAAGGAATAAACTTACTTTTAGAAGAGTATCTGCATATCTGCATAATTACTCAATTATCTTGTGGTTATACTGAGAGATAAAAATACTAGTCTCGTCAAAAAAGGTATTTAGTGATAATTCTTGCTTTCTGACCTACGTGTTTTTCTGACATAAAGGGTTTTTTTAAGGAATAGTTGAGAATAGCTTAATGTGCACTGTTCTGCAAAATGGTTAATAGTACTGAGTTTCAGTCAAATTGAATTATAGTCTCTTGTTAGTTTAGTTCATTGTAGTCTCTACTGTAATACTATTATCACCAAAATGACAAGCCAAGTGCTTCAAACTTTTATTTCAAACTAAAATGCACTGCAGTCAAATCTGGCAGTGCATAAACAGCTGTTAACATTTAGTCCTCACTAATATTTCAAAAAAGAGTAATGAATTTTCTAATATATAAAGTACCAAACTGATCCCTCCTAGCAGGGCTAACTAATTTATTTTGAAAAGCATTGGGCATATTTAGACAAAGACTACTTGTTAAAAGCAGCATTTCTTCAATGGCAGGGCTGATTTGCTTTCTGGCTGAGCAGT